AGTACCCATCATCATCAGCATCATTATATCCATCATCAGCACGAGTTATAATGGTAACCATCATCATCTGCGCCGTAGTAAAATGCGAGGTGGCCCGGTATGGGAATCGAACTCAAATATTCTGTACTCGATACATCTTCGCGTTTTTCGTTCTACTGTTTGGTTTTAGCGACACTGCGTTACGAACACCAAACCGCCGGAGTTAGATTCCCGCTCACGGCGTACATCAGTTTGCGAGTGATACCTGAAACGGGCCTACCTGGGTCACCCTTCTTCACAGCTACCTGCCCGTAACGACCAGAGTGGTGAAGTATGGTCGAACAATGATTCCCCCGTGACCAACACGGCGTGAGAGGGGAGGGGTGGGATTATTATTGTATTGATTTTGCCTCGCTACTGATGAAAAATATATATTAACGTAAATTAGTCGAATGTTATTAACTTCAGAGTAGTATGCATCACGCACGTGTATTTTAGACTTAAATAATATAATCACTCTTTCGGTTAAACTTCCTAAACATCGTTTTTTATAGAAGCAACCAATTCATACGGTTACATGTAAATCGTGTGTTTTGTATGATGCTGATCTGTCCCGGAAACGTTTTAACACTGACAAAAACATTATTTCCAAATAATTTCCACTATTTTTTTCTATTATTTTTTTTTTACGCCAAAAGAGTTGAACGGCTGAAACGTTGATTTGGTTCCACTCGCGTAACTCCGATCGAACAAACGAACACGCAAATGATAAAGACAGGAGTCCCATCGTCTGTGAACCGAGTAATTCGCCTCTCGCGGAGTGTGACGCTAAAGCCGATGCAAAGCGAGTAAAAGCTCTGTTGACGGCGCTTTGTTAATAAGCCCAACATATTATGCGTGTGTGCATATATATGTAAATGGTGCCGACGTTTTAGGTTAGGGCCGTAATTCAGAGAATAGTTTACACGAGGCACGTATTTATGTTCGCTTTACAAAGGCACAAATAAAACTACCCTCAGATTAACTGACGCAGATTTCATGCTCCTAGCCACCATGGTGATGATGAGAGAGAGACACCGCAAACTCAAAAATATACAGCAGCAACAGGCGTCAGGGTCGGGATCGAACCCACGATCTCCTGTATACCAAGCGAGGTAGTTAACATCTCCTAGTCACCATGGTGATGATGATGATGAGAGAGAGACACCGCAAACTCCAAATATACAGCTGCAGATGGCAGGATCGGGATCGAATCCACGACTTCCTGTATACCAGGCGAGGTAGTTAACATCTCGTTGCGCTGTTAAACTAATCACCGCGCCACCGCTCCCCTAATGCACACACGCACTCAGTATATGGGGGGGGGGGGGAAACGCAGCGTTAAGTAACAATAACAATTTAAATGGGCAATTTGACCCCATTAGCGGACTATTAGCGTGGCCAGAGCAAACGAAAGGGGCGACTCAAACTCGGCACGCGGCACCCAACGATTTGTCTGTGACGTGTAACGACGAGGCGTCGCAGTTATCATCATCATCGTCGTAGTCGGACATGATCGATCCACTGCTAGACGATGGCCTCCCCCAACAAAGAGGCCCCATACCATCTCCCACCATCCCTGCGGATGCAACGAATCCGCCCAGCAGTCGCGCACGCGCTGATTCCATCGCTCCATCTCCCACGGTGGTCATGCGCGGACGCTCTCTCTCTCTCTGTCTCTCTCTCTGTCTCTCTCTCTCTCGCTGTCTCGCTGTCTCTCTCTCTGCCTCTCTCTCTGTCTCTCTCTCTGTCTCTCTCTCTCTGTCTCTCGCTGTCTCTCTCTCTCTGTCTCTCTCTGTCTCTCTCTCTGTCTCTCTCTCTCTCGCTGTCTCTCTCTCGCTGTCTCTCTCTCTCTCGCTGTCTCTCTGTCTCTCTATTTCGCTGTCTCTCTGTTTCTCTCGTTGTCTCTCTCGCTGTCTCTCTCGCTGTCTCTCTGTCTCTCTCGTTGTCTCTCTCGCTGTCTCTCTGTCTCTCTCTCTCGCTGTCTCTCTGTCTCTCTCTCTCTCGCTGTCTCTCTGTCTCTCTCGTTGTCTCTCTCGCTGTCTCTCTCTCTCTCGCTGTCTCTCTGTCTCTCTCGCTGTCTCTCTCGTTGTCTCTCTCGGTGTCTCTCTCGCTGTCTCTCTCTCGCTGTCTCTCTGTCTCTCTCGCTGTCTCTCTTGTTGTCTCTCTCGCTGTCTCTCTCGCTGTCTCTCTGTCTGCGTTCCACTCCTCGGCTAATCGAGGGCGACCGATCAACTTGCACCTTGGTCCAAGTGCAGTCGTGTATTATATACTGTACCTATAGTCGTACCGTCAACAACATACGCAGCAAAGTCAGGAATCAAAAAAATATATATAATAAAAAAATATATAAAATAAAAACAAATCGTTTATGGAACTGTTAAGGGAAAGGTGACGTGATGGGACAATTCGGCTTTGACACGTCACGGCTAAAGGGATGGATGATGGCGCCGGTGTTCGAGACTAACAACGGAGCGCAAACCCAAGGAGGGAGCAGCAACAACAACAAACAACAACAAACAACAGCAACACGCCCGACAGCACGTCCGCTGCGGAGATGGAACGACAGAGCGCTACGAATTCAGGCGGACGCTGAATGCATCGCGAGAGCGCGTGGGAGGCGCGCAGACAGCTTGGGAAATAGAGAGAGAGATGGGCATTCATCCAGCAGTGTATAGATCATGGCTGGTGGTGATGATGATGATGACCAGCAAGGCCCGTGGCGGGTTTTTCGTCCGCTGTCAATCGGCTTCATCGTCACACTCCACCGGAGGCGATTTTCTCGGTTGTCACCGACACAAGCGAGCCCCGTGCACGTGCAAGCACCCCTCGTGTGCCGCGCCGGCCCTTCATTAAGTTGCTGCTGCTCGCTTACAGCACTTGCCCTCCCCAAAAAGTATGTCGAGGCTACACGGGGGATCTTTGTCTTTGCGAGAGAGAGAGGAGTGTTGGGCGGGAGACTTCGAGCAGCAATGTGGAACTTCAGGCTGAGCGCTGCCCCCTACCGAGCGACACGGATAAACTTCGTAGCCGGAGACTTTTGGGGACACAAATTCGGAATGCAGAGGCTCGATGACATCGCTACCAGGGGGTAGCGGCTTGTCTCAGCCTCCTTCAAGAACAGAACTAGAATTTCCACGTGGCACGATCGTGCCTGTCTGTGTGTGCCTGTGTGCGTGTGTGGTGCATGGGGTGCGGTGGTGTGGCGGTTAGCGCCACGCTGCGCTACGAACCTGGCGACCCGGGTTCGAATCCCGCTCACGGCTAACACCAGTAACGATTTTTCTGAACCGGTTTTGGGCCTCCCCTAGGTCGACTCAGCCTCAAATGAGTACCCGGTGCGATGTCGCCACCAGGGAGACAAAGGCGGCCGGGCGTGGTGTTGGCCACCCACCCCCTCGTGTGCCGTGCCGGCCTTTATAGGTGCTCGCTAACAGCACTTGCCCCTGCAGTCTGTTAAGGCTATACGGGGGATATTTGTCTTTGTGGTGCGTGGTGTTGGCCACCCACCCCCTCGTGTGACCGTTCCTGGCCTCCATAGGTGCTGCTACTCGCTAAAAGCAACTTTCCCCAACAGTCTGTTACAGGCTAAACAAAAAAAAGTGGGGCAATGTAACATCATGAAAAAGGGCCATTGTCTAAAACGTCACCTTTTATATATTTTTTTTAATTTCGTGTTATTAACGCATGCGTTTAGTTTTATCCATGAAACGGAACGCGTGGTTTGACCAATAACAAAAATAAATGGCAAGCGAGCTTTACTTAACAAAATATATAGTTCAACATTTGTACGGCACATCACACGGTTATATCTTCACGAGCACGGAGTTTCTGCCCATGGAGACGGAGCGATGAAACCGGCACGTGCGACGGATCGTTGAATCACGAAACGTTGTAAGGGGGGGGGGGGGGTGATGGTGGCGACTTGGATGGATGGGGGCAGGGTGGTTGAGGGCTTCATTCAGCAGTGGATAAACCATGGCTGGATGATTCACTACGATCGCCCAACTGAGGGCATATTTTTTTATTGGTCTCGCCACTTGAACCGGTAACCGTGGAAGCGAATGGCTCCTCGCTTTGCCACGCTAATTGCTGCAAAATTGATCAAAGCGCGCCGTCTGCTGACATCAAAGAATGACGTTAAAGACTTCATAAGTATTGTTGTTGTTGTTGTTATTCACTCGCATAGGACATTATGGTCCTGCGATCGCGTTTCGTGTGTTAAGCAACGCGGAGTTACTTCAATGAAGGCCGTCGTACTTTAAAGAGGTGATGGATTCCAATGGTCCCACGTTTGGTTCAATCAAGGATGGTATTGAAGCGAATGTGCCCTCGTGATGATGACAATGATGATGATGATGTTGGTGTCTCTTACATCGATGAGGATGATTATGATGTTAACGATGATACCACGAATGAAGATGAAGACGATGATGACGCGCTCATGATACTGATGTTGCGATAAATAAAGACGATGATGAATTAATAGATCACTATTGATTATGGTGGTGATAAATTCCTAGATCAATTATGATGATGCTAATTACTATGATGATGACAATCATGTTGACAATTTTAAAAAACGCTAATTATTTACGAGGATCATTATGCCATCAACAATACTAATGACGACACCAATAATTACAATTACGAATTCATCAATTATATTTATGACACCGATGTCGTCAATTATAATATTGAGACCAATTATAATAATGATGATGACGCAAATTCTAATATTGACACCAATTACCATCATCACCATCATGGTGCTTCTGACATCACCAATTATAATGACGATGATGCCATCAATGTCAATATTGACACCAATTACGATACTATAATTGATAATGATAGTGATGCTGACCATCAATAGCAATCAATGATGAATAATATCGATAACACGGCACCTCCTTTGCCGTTCTTTTCCGTCTCTATCGCTCCCTCTCTCTCTCTCTCTCGCTCGCTCCCTCCGATCCAAGGGCTCTCATTACGAGATCAAGGACAGCCCGGGACTGCAGCACTCGTCTTTCCCATACCCGACAGCCGCCTACTACAGCCCCTACGGCGGCTTCCAGTACACGGACCCATCCCGGCCCAAGAACGCGACCCGCGAGAGCACGGCGACGCTCAAGGCGTGGCTCAACGAGCACCGCAAGAACCCGTACCCCACCAAGGGCGAGAAGATCATGCTGGCCATCATCACCAAGATGACCCTCACGCAGGTCTCCACGTGGTTCGCGAACGCGCGCCGGCGTCTCAAGAAGGAGAACAAGGTGACGTGGGCGCCCCGGAGCCGCAGCGACGAAGAGGGACACTCGTGCGGCAGCGACGCCGAGGTGGATAGGAAGGAGGAGGACGAGGAGGAGGAGGACGAGGAGGACGAGGCGGTGGGCGAGGAGGAGGCGGAAGAGGAGGATGACGACGACGACGAAGAGATCGACTTGGAGAACATCGACATTGAGAAGTGCGAGGAGGAGGAGGAGGACAGTGGAGACTTGAGCAGGGATGAGCGCGACGGAGCGATGGAGGCCGAGCTGAAGATGCGGGAGGCGGTCAAGGGACAGACTGCGCCCGGCATGAGAACGTCCCCAGCGAGCTGCCTCTCCTCCGAGGCTCCGACCGGGTCCAAGCCTGGCTCTCCAACCGCCCTCAGTTCGACCCTGGTGGTCATGAGTCAAGGGGCACCTCAGCTGCTTCGACACCACCACCACCATCACCAGCAGCAGCAGCAGCATCATCAGCAACAGAATCCGAACGTTCAGCAGCAGCAGCAGCAGCAAGGTCATCGTGAGAGCCAGCCTGACCCGGTGGGCCCCGCTCGGCCAAAAATCTGGTCGCTTGCCGAAACTGCCACCTCCCCGGATAGCCCGCGACGGTCTCCAAGCAGCGTCACGCAGCACACGTGCGGCCAGATCGGCGGCCCCTCGGCCTACCTTTACAGTCCAGCTGCGGCAGCGGCCATCCTTTGTAGCAAACTCCACCAGCAAAGTCCTCAGCACAACCACCACCAGCACCAGCAGCAGCAGCAGAATGGGCTTCACAACCACCACCACCACAACAACCACCACCATCAAACTCAACACCATCACCACCACCACCAAGGCCATCAGCAGCACCATCAGCAGCAGCAGCAGAGTTTCCTGTTGAGGCAGGCGGAATTTTTGGGCATTGCGAGCCAGCGAGGTGGCACGGGAGTGGTCGCAGCGGCGGCAGCGGCGGCCGGGTTTGTCGGCGTGGGTGTCAACGCTACGAGCAGCCTCTACCAGGCGCCCAGCAACAGCCTCCTGGTGACCAGGGCTGCCCAAGGTGAGAGTGGGTTTGTCTTTGGACATCTTAGGAGAAAATAAAAAAAACTCACAGAGCTGCATTAGCTCAACTGGAGTCCCCCCACTGTAATCAATATTCTGGTGCAGATTTTTGTTTTCTCACTGTCGTTGCTTGCGTGGCTCTGCGGTGTGTTTGTTCGGCGCGCGATTGTCCGACGTTTTGTGCCACCACCTGTAGCCGGAGCTTCTCCGAAACGTTGAATTATTTTTTTTTCCGTTCCCGCAAAATGCTTTCCGGCACGTGGTGCGTAACGTCGGACAATCGCGGTGGGAAGCACGCGGCGTGAGGCGGAAATGCAAGCCGTAAACACCCCGAGGGATGTATGCACGTGTGCATGTTGGACTTCTTTCGCACCGTATGTAGCCAACCGTGCTAAGCTGAGGTGCCGGAGGAAGGAAAACAAACTAAACACAAAAAAGCAGTTCTAAAGAAAAGAGGTTTCAATCCAGACGATGATTATTTAAAAGAGGGGGATAGCTTCCATTGGCTTCCTAATATCGGAAGGAAGATCGTTCCAGACGGCCGCAGGATCGGCCCATCTTAGAACGGGCTCGTGGCTGCTGACGATGTCGCAAGACAGCTGGGACAGAAGTTTGTGGAGTTTGTGGTTTAAATTGGTGACGCGCTGTAGTATGTTACTTTGAACACTTGCACGTATAAAAAACAAAAACAGTAATGATACATATTAAATAATAATTATAAAAGACGACAAATAATTAATTCTACGTGTGTTTAAAGTAACACTATTTACAGCCAGTTATCGATAAAAAGCTGGATTAAGACCTCCCCATGGCCGTGTCAGTGGCGTGAGCTGTTTGTCCATACTTCACCACGCTGGTTGGCACGCGTTGGTAAGGTGGGAGGGTTGGTGGGGGGGTATATAACCAACAGTGGCTGTCTTATGGATATGATGCAGCCTCACCATAGGAATGTGCAATTTCCTATAGTGGCTTATGTCTAGATAAGATAATAGCATTTTAAACAGATTTAAATAAAAAGGTAAAAACATGTATGACCAGGATAAGTTTATATGCAGGCTTGCTTGCGTTTGATTATATAAAACAAAGACACTAAATAAAAATAAACGCTTTCAAATAAATCTAAAGGTGCAGAGAATTTACTTGGCGTGCCCGTACGATTAATCTCCATGGCCGTCATCGCTGAACCTCTCCGACTGAGCCGCTGATCACAAAACAACTCAGTTAGACTCTGGTCACTGGCTAGTGCGTAGGCTATTACCAAAGTGTCCCGTGCACTATGGAGGACATTAGAGACCTCCTAGCGAACCTCAGGGTCACTCCAACAGTCACTTGTCCATCGAGAGCCGGAAACCAACACCCTATTGCCCAAAATGTAAACTAAACTATTCTATATTTGACCTGCTAAGGCCCGCTGACCCAATATAGCTCTTATTCAGAAGCGACCTGGCTATCACATATGATAGCTCAACGAAGTGGCTTATCACGTGAAATGTCACAGCAGTCAAATGCTCTGAACTCGTGTTTCAAAAATGTGGATAGAATACAACCGGAGGACGTGGGGAAAAACAAATCCCAACGCCACCACGGGGAGAGACAGAGAGACCCCCCACCCACCCCCAAATATACAGGCATCGTCAGGGTCGAGATCGTATATACCAGGACGGGGTAGTCGACACATTGCTACGGTGGCGCCTCCAATTCACGACAGAGACTGAGCGCGTGCAGGAAGGGGCGTGATTCGTTGCCGCGATGCGCTCTTGTGCGTGCTGTTTTTTTTGTTGTTGCGCCACTCTTAACGAGAGTTTGGCATCGTGCGGAGAGGTCACGAGAGAGGTCGGAGAGGTCCCAGCGGTTACCGACCGCGGAGGAGGCAACTCGAACACACAGTCGCCACCTCCCGGCGACTTGCTCGCAAGCCCCGCAGAACCTACGACACCTGGCAAGCCCCCCGGGCTGTTGGAGCGCGCGTACGCGTGATATACGAACCGGGGGGCTTACGCCTCTCGCTGTGCTCATCCTTCCGAGATGCGTCCGAATTCGGCCGCATTCGGGGTGATTATTGGCATCGGCTTTGTGTCATTGATAGCAGCGTTAACATTGGCTCGTCATTAAATTCGAATACGCTCATTATTATTATGCTTCAACAAACGACGCGAATTTCAATTGTTTAACGTTAATTTCAGACTGTAAAAGTAGGTATATATATATTTTTTAAATCAATAAACAGCTCAATGGAAAGTTATAATAAATAGGCACGCGCCTGCCTGCTCGGAAGCGATTCACCCGCTTTTTATTGGCTTTAGCGTCACACTCCGCGGGAGGCGAATTACTCGGTTCACCGATTATGATGACGACGTTGACGATGTGGCTGAAATCCGCCCCCTATGAGTGAAACCAAATCAACCTCCGCTCAGTCGTTTCACGCCGGGACCCAGTTTAATAAATGAAATTAGATTGTCATGTTCCGTTTGTGTTATCGAAAGCATCGACTGGGCTAACTAAATCTAAAGCTTGGCTCTTTAGCCCTTTGCGGAACATCAGTGACCATTTACATGAGTTATTTCTTATGCGAAAACAACAATACGTGTTACGATATGCACCGTGACAATGCAGGCGGTTCTGTGTGTGTGTGCCCATAGACTAGATAATATCTGAATCGATCCTGGGCCTTTCCTAGGTCGACTCAGCCTCAAACGAGTAACCTGGTGCGGTGTGTAAACATCACAACGAGAGAGAGACAAAGGCGGACGGGCGCGGTGCTGAGTCACCCACCGCCTCGTGTGCCGTGGCGACCCTTCATAGGTGCTGCTCGCTAACAGCACTTGTCCCCAACAGTCTGCTGACGCTACACGGGGCATCTTTGTATTTGTCTGTATACTCTATATTATACCGAGAGAGGGAGGGAGAACGTCGAGTGGGAGATGGAGCGATGAAATGAGCGCGTGTACCGATGCTCGGTGGATCGTTACATCGAATGATCATGCGAGGTGGCTTGGTGAGGCCATCATCATACAGCAGCGGATGATGATGATGATAATAATACTTTAAGTTACTAATGGCAAGTGGTACATCGGATTGGTTTATTATCATCATTCACTGTGACGTGTATTTTGTTTTGCTTCAGATAAAGAATCGCTGACCAGCCCCTCAACGATGAAAACCGCGTTCCAGCCGGTGCACAGACGGTAAGCATCAATTTATTTCGCATTTCTTTCTGAATTCTTCCACTTTGTAAAAAAATTACGGGGTGTACATTCATTTGCAATGGGGGATGGGGAGGGGGGTGGGGAGAGCGGTGGCGCAATGGTTAGCCGAACGAAGCGGCAGCTCAACATGCGGCCACCTGAGTTCGATACCAGACCAAGGCTAAAGAGATGTACAGACATCAGGTCGTGGGGATCTTCCCTCCACGTTCGACAACCCTCTGGCGCCCTAAGGGGCGTGCTCCAAGTACTGTCGAACAACTCGCAATACAAATTCATCCAGCAGTGGATTGACAAAAGCAGTCTAGATTCCTACTGTTGCTACTGTACACAGGAGTATTATATCAGTAATGCTATACGGCATAGCATAACTGCGGGGGGGGGGGGGTGAACACGCGTACTAAATATTGGTACAATATTCAGTATATTGCAGTACTTTATTAACTGCATGTACGCCAACATGCAATTAAGGTGCAGCTGCCACTGGGGGTGCCCCTTTGAAATGAGTCGAGATTAAGATCGAGCTATTTTTGTATTTATTTATTTCACTTTACGCTTTATAACTTTCATGAGATGTAAGTCGCGTGTCGTGCTGGAAGGAGGGAGCAAAGCCTCTGTCACGAAGCACAATTCATTAATAAAATTATTATGTATTGTGGTGAGCTTAACATCGATAGGAATCGATGAACTGAGGCTTTCCCTGCACGCACTAACACGCGTATAGTGCGTAGCATAGAGGGAAGGGTTAACCCAACTTTACGAATTGGCTCTTTCAATATATCTATTTCAATACATGAAATGTCCTCGTGTAATTCTACAACATTTATTCATAGTTAATAATAATAAATGCAGTCTCGGTGTGGTGAAGTATGGTCGATCAAATATCCCTTCCCCCACGACCCTCGTGGGTAAGGCCTTAATCCAGCAGTGGATTTACAGAAAGGCCCTCTACTGTACACACATATAACGTGCAGTCCCATATATAATCCCGTTGTGGACTGCATATACATATCTCGTACGATTGCATATGCCATCACAATGCGTAATGTAAACAAACAGGTGACAACAATGGATGTACACTATACGCACACGCACGCACACACACACACACAAGACAGTCTTTATTTTGTCAGGTTTATATATATACTGCACGCCGTTAACAACGCAAACGACCAACACGCTGTCGTTCGCTCTGCAAATCGCAGCGTGATACATGCCGGACGTACAGACAGTTCGCGTTTAGGATGGGCGTCACCTGTCTGTCATTCTCTGCCTGAGAATAGCAGCAAGGCGGCGTGGGCTTGCGTTAGCAGCTGGCTGACACGAGGTGCAGCGAACCGCGATGGATCGTTGAATCCGTCTGTGCTGAATTGCGGGGTCAGACGCGGGTGCATAGAAGTGCAGTACAATAGTTTGTGTTAATGTGCACAGCATGACAGCCCAAAGCAATGCGTTTTAACCCCGTCCCAAAGTACTATCGGAACCCTTGCTTAGCTTGACCACGAGATCTGACGAGAGGTCGAAGGCATTCCTGTTGATTTGTTCGGATGCGGATACCTACCCTTAGATCTCTATATATCTCACACGCACATGTGTACACTTTATACAATATACAAATATCCCCCGCTTAGTGCTAATGCTTACAACTACCGCATCAAGCACTTGTTTAAGTGCTGAGTCGACCTAGGGGAGGACCCAGCAGCGGTGCAGATAATCGGCATCTCGTATTGGTCGTAAGCGCCAACCGAAGCACAGTGCGCTCACCGCTCCCCGCACGTGTGTATATATATAATAAAGACAAAGATCCCCCGTATAGCCTTAACATACTTTTGGGGCAAGTGCTGTTAGCGAGCAGCTCCTATAAAGGCCGGCACGGCACGCGAGGGGGTGGGTGAACAACACCACGCCCGACCGCCTTTGTCTCGTTAGTGGCGACGTTTACACATCGCACCAGGTACTCATTTGAGGCTGAGTCGATCTAGGGGAGGCCCAGGACCGTTTCAGATAATCGTCACCGGTGTTGACCGTGAGCGGGAATCGAACTCGGGTCGCCGGGGTTGTAGCGCAGCGCGCTACCCGCTACACTAAACACACACAAAAGTGCATGCTGCGTTTACATTTTCAATGAATATTTTCCTTGGCCGGTCAACCCCCAGGAGGGGAGGGAGAAGGGGCTGGAGGGGAGTGCGAGGTGGGTTTGGGGTCATTTTCCGGAGCTCAGCCCCTGCCTGGACAGCTCCGGTTAAACGTGTCGTTGTGCATTGTGAAATGATTAACGCGCATTCTCTTTGTGTTTGCTTTGTCTTGTGTGTGTGTTTATTGTCTTTATCTTCGCAGAACTCACACTGAGTTGGACGCGTCCGTAGGACTGTCAGCGTTATCGTCAGCCTGAAAACAAACATCAGAAATTCAAAATGGAAAACATCCACACTCACACACACACGCGCGCACGCACGCACAAGAGAACCAACATTTAGAAAGGCACAGTGATAAGAATAACAACATCCACACCGAAATACAGTAATACCCCGATGTACGCGTCTCCATTTCACGTCGTTTCGTAATTACGTCGTCACTTTATTAACACCGCCACCCGAATTGCGTCGCCGAAACCCCTACACTTACGTCGCTGACGGCATCATCGTCCATCCGCTCTCGTTGTCCGTCGCCTCTCAGCCCCTTCGCCTCCACCACCACCCCACTACCACTACTTCTACTACCCTGTAAATCGCTTCGATTTAACGTCGTTTCGATATTCGTCGTCGTCGCAAATTTCGGGAACGCATCCCCGACGTAAAGCGGGGTATTACTGTACCAGTTAATGGGGGGATAATTCAACTAGCCAAACAGCGGTCTACAATTGTGTGAGCGTGTGTGTGTGTGCATTTTGAGGTTGGTAAATATGTACATTTGTTTGCTGTGTGTAATATCGGGGAATGTAGTAGCTATTGATTGATAATGATGATGATAATAATGCCCTACTGTTTAATGATTTGTAATTTAAATGACAATAATTAATGAGATTGTAGTCCTGGATTTTATTTTAAAATGTGATCTGATTTCTCGATTTCTGATCCATCAGTTGACAATTATTGCTCTCACCGTTATTGTTACGATGGTTGTTTCTTGTTTGCCCTGTCTGTATATAACGGTTTATAAATATATATACATAGGTCACTAAAACTGTACATATTGACGCGGTGGACAATATTGTGGATGAAAATTGCCCTATATTTTTTAAAATAAATTTAACTGACGAATTTAGACGCACGCGACCCATGGAGAGGCTTTGTCAACGTGAGCTCCGCGTGACTTCCACCGTCATTTCATTTTGTGTTGATGTGATTTGTGTGTGTGTTTTTTTATACTTTAAAAAGAATATATGGTATCGAGAGAGAGAGCGCGAATCTCCAAAAGCTATATACGGACGTTCCAGACACGTTCGTTATATTCGTGCGACTACGGACCGTATCGCACCTCTGTCTCCTGAAGTCCCTCTCGTAGTGACTAGCGAGCGGCATGACGTCATCACTGCCACCCATCGTATGAAACCAAGATCCCCCGTGTAGCCTTCAACAGACTGTTGGGGCAAGTGCTGTGAGCGATTTGCACCTAGTAAGGCCGAGGGGGGGGGGGGGGTAGTGGCCGCCTTTGTCTCCCAAGTGGCGATGTTTACTACACCCCACAAGATAATCATTTTAAGGCTGAGTCGACGTAGGGGGAGGCCGAGGAGCGGGTTAAGAGCATCGTCACTGGTGTCGGTGGTGGCCGTGAGCTGGGAATCGAACTCAGACTGTCGGGTTCGAAGCGCAGCGCTCTAAACAGCTACGCTACCGCTCTCCTGTATCTCTGCAATCACTGCGCGCACTCACACGCAGACTCTGCCTCTCTTCCTCCGTAACTTTCGAGCCATTCTCCCTCGACATCCTGGGACTCTGCGTGGTGACGATGATGATGGTCACTCACGCCCCCTACAGGACTCATTCTAATCTCAACTTATCCTCCTCGCGTTCTTTGTAACCTCAGCTCCTTATGCCTTCGGGGTCTCGGGAGTGCACGAGCGAGACAACAATCGGTCTGGCCCTTGTGAGCGGCGTGCAGGCGGTGCAACTGCGTGGGCTTCCACGGACCGGTGGCGGTCGGCGGACGCGGAGGGGTGATGCTGTGAATTTGCGGGGAAATTTGGACGAGTGGATGGGTGGGTGGGTTCGGGTGGTGGAAGGGAGGGAGGGAGGGGGGGCATTTCATTCCTTAAACGAGGCCCCGTTACCAACGGGATCGGAAACCACAACAACAACAACAAGAGCCATTTGTTTTTGGAATTCGGGAACAACAAAGCGAACAAAAATGTTCAATATTTCAAGAGCCGCAATGCACCGTGCGGTGAATTCTAGGCGGCGGTCCTGAAAGAGCCACACGCGGCTACGGAGCCGCAGGTCGCCGACCCCCCCTGGTCCATGCCAACCCCCGAAGCACACAACAGTGCCACTGGCTCGACGAGACTAACTTAGAATCAGAGCCGTCCTTAGCGGCGGGGGGTGGGGGGGGGGCTGCAGGACCCAGGGCGAACCCCACCGCGTGGGCTCTCACGACGCCTTTAAACTAAACTGGAAGTATTACACCCTACACCGTGACGTCGAGGCGCGCCCCCCTTCACCACCTCCCCCCCCCCCCAAAGCGCGGGGCGCGGGGCGGTCGCCCCGAATTCGCCCTACCCTAGGTACGGCTCTACTTAGGATCGGCAATTTTTTCGTGCAAAAGTTTTCTCCACTTGGATTATTCATTATCCGCTTGAAACTGCAGCTTACATGTTTAAATGGTTACAGTATATATGAAATATATGCAGTGAAACGTTGTCCGTTGGCATAATCGCAACCAGCATAAGCATCCGTCGGATGTCAGTCTTTAAAAGTATACTCACGGCCGTCATTATTATTTTAATTACTGAATCCACATCATCATTATTATTGTCACACATAGGTGTTCACCATTGCCACTGAATATAGTTATTGTAATTTTCAATTGTATGGGGCATTTCTTCCGTGAATCCTAATTAATGTTTGAACAAAGACGGTGGTCATCGCATCGCGAGGCGCTTTCAGATGCGCCTCTGCGGCCGTCTGGAACGCTCTTCCTTCCGATATTAGGAAGCTACTGGAACTATTCACTTTTAAATCAGCATCTAGATTGAACACCTATTTCTTTAGAACTGCTTTTTGTGTTTATTTTGTTGTCCTTCCCCCCTCCCCGCAAGCCCGATAAGCACGGTTCCCTCTATACCATGCGAAATAGGTTCAACATATGTACAACATACATGTAGAGCGACCTCTAGTGGAGACCCCTTTCGTCAGCAGTTGCGCAGGTGAGCTATTGTAGCGCTGCGCCTTTATCCAGCTTTGTTTTTTTCTCAAGATTGCCGAGCACAATCAAAACGCCAAACGATCAGCAACACACAGCGCACGGCTAAAGTGGATTATCGTATTGTCCACTATATCTCTCTGACATCGCTCGTTTGTGTCGACCCTTTATCAATCCACTGCTGGATGAAAGCTTCCTTGCTTGTTCTCTCTCTCTCTCCACATGATCTCGCGTGGATTTTTTTCCTCCGGGTCCTCCCGCTTTTGCCTTCCACGTTTAGAATCAACATCGCGAGATCAGAGTATGTGGCTGCGGTGCGTTTCTGCAATGACGATCAGCCCACTTCGTTGAGCTGTCATTCGTGGCCAGTTCGTTCCCGAGTTTTGATTCCATCACGCTCGTGGCCCAACGTCAGTGGCGATTTCACCGAAGCCCTCCTGGGCCCTCCCTTAGAACGACTCGACCACAAATAAGTCACGCGGTACTGTGAATACAACAACAGCTGTATCAGCGCGGAGAGGGGCGAGGGGTGGGGTGGGTGAGACAAAAGCGGCCGGGCGTGGTTCTGGATCGCTAGGAAGCACTGGACCCAACAGCATGAAATAAAACAGCGATTTCTGCACGGGGAGGAGCGGTAGGGGGGAGAGAAAATAGCTGCATAGCTTAGTGGAGCCTTACCTGATCAAATAGAAAAAAAATAGATATAATTAAGCCATGCCGGTCGTGAAATAATTGTTGTTTGTAATCAGCATTCTTCGCGATGATGGCGAAGTGAGGTCCAGGACTGGTCCGTGTGTCGCTCGCCACCGATGGTGACGGTGACCGCGAAACGAACCCGGATGGCTCCGTTTCTAGAGCGGCGCAACTCACCGCTACGAACCCAGTACATTGACGCGGCTCTTGTCCATGATGCACACTAAATTCATCATTATTAGGACGCGATAGTATGGAGTGAAAGTGCACTCTTGAGTGAACACCGTTCGCAAGTAAGAATGAAACATGTCAACACTTAAAACTCTGTTACTTTACGTCGTTTCGCAAACACGTCGTCACTTTATTGGTAGCACCGCCACCCGATCTGCATCGCCTCGACGCGGCCTCAGGGTGCACGTAGCCTGGCACAAGCGCCGTGGTGACGTCACTGCCACTTGGTGGTGGCTCTTGTGGCTGTTAGCGCTACGCTGCGCTACGAAACCGGCGACCCGAGTTCGATGCACGCTCACCTTCGAATACACCGGTGACGATTACCTGAACCGGTCTTGGGACTCCTCTAGGTCGACTCAGCCTGCTGGCCACCCACCCCCTCGTGTGCTCGCTAACAGCACTTGCCCCATACAGTCTGCTAAAGGCTGTACGGGGGAGGGGGGAGCGGTGGTGCAGCGGTCAGCACGCTGCGCTCTGAACCCGGCGACCCGGGTTCGATTCCCGCTCACGCCCAACGCCAGTGAAGATTATCTGAACCGGTCCTGGGCCCTCCCCTAGGTCGACTCAGCCTCAAATGAGTACCTGGTGTGGTGTGTAAACGTCACCACTAAGGTATACAAAGGCGGTGAAAACGGCACTTGCCCCGACAGTCTGTTAAGGTTATACGGGGGGATCTCTTGACTTTATTTGTCTTTGTTGGGGTAAGCGTGCGCGCGCGTGTGTTTTCAATCACTCGGCTGATGCCGTTAATTGCCGATAAACTGCGTGCCTCGCTGCGTTTGCAATCGGACCTCAGGTCGCCACGGTGAGAGAGGCGCAAACTTGACGGAGCGAGTTAAAGCGTGGGACCGACTCGGCCGTTGGGGTCACCGCCAGTGGACACGTGCCTCGCGTCAAGCTAATCGTGGCTACGCAGTGCGGCCACCCACCCCCTCTCGTGTGCCACGCTGGCCTTCATAGGTGCCCGCTAACAGCACTTGTCCCCTACGGTCTGTTAAGGCTGCACGGGGGGATCTTTGCCTTTGGAGTTCGTTGTTCTATTCTGCCTGGGGTTGTGTTTTTTTTTACTTTCTCTGGCGTTCTCTGCCTTTCGCACCGTCAGCTCCACCGCCCGCACGATGCGACCAGCTTCTCACTGGACACCGGCCACACATCACGAACCTGGAGGGACCCTACAGCGATGATTTTATGACCACGAGCTGTGGACTCGCCACGTCGCTACTTTCGGCACAGGCCCTGGCACTGTCCTCTAATCCACCGCCTCCCCTTCGCGGTGGAAATCGTGGCCAGTGCTGAACAACGCCGGTCTTTGTGCGTCTTCCAAAATTACAAATAAATAAATAAATTGCGAGGATAGGGGATGGGGGTGGGGGGTTAAAAAATGGGGGGGAGAGAGAGGGGGGGGTGCGGAGGAAATTATAGCAGAATGAATCAGCCGTGTTATGCTTACTTAATTCAATTTCAACAATCTAATTGAGAGTGTTGGATTGTATGTATATGTACGGATGTACACGACTCGCGTGCGTGCGTGCGCGTGTGTGTGTGTGAGCGGTTAGGGCGCCGGGCATACGAACCCAACGACACGAGTTCTAATCCCGCTCGCGGCCACCAACGCCAGCGGCGAGTGTCTGAACCGGTCCTGGGCATGCCCCGAGCTGTCGACTGGGTCTCAAACAAGGAACTCGTGCACGGGGTGCAAAATCATCGACACTCGCGAGGAGACAAAGGCGGTCCGGGCAAGCGTGGTGCTGGCCACCCGCACATCACTCGCGTGCCCGTGCCACGGCCTAGATGAGCGCTTGCCCTAAAAGTCCGTGAAAATATCATAACGGGGGATCTTCGTATTCAAAGTTAAAACTTCAAGTCTGCTTAGATCTTGTTATTTTGTTGCAGTGGATTCCTGGGCTTGTTTCTCTCTCTCTCTCTCTCACTTTCCTACGCATTTTAAACCAACGTTAATTTTAAGCAGTCACCCCCTCATTAA